CACCCCCCCAAGCCAGCTGTCCTCCGGCCAAGCCTGTAGCAAGTCTATTTCCCTTGCCCATTGGAACAGCTGAGAATTTTTGTGAAGTCCCTCCCCACTCCTAAAGATAAACTGGGCAAATTTCCTCAAAGAGACTTCCTGACAACCCCTGTTATAAATTCAGTCTGCTGGGGGAACTCTGTCCGAGCACCGTTCTGCTTAATAGCACTTAACCACATCATGTCGTTAAATATTTATTGGTGTGAATATTTAATATTTATCCCATCCACTAGATTGTCAGCGCTGCGATAGCAAGATCTGTATCTGTTACATAGTATGTGCTCAACGAACCTTGCTACAGCAGGCTCACCATGGAAACCAGAGGTTTTGTGTTGTTTTTGGGGTTTTGGATTTTTTTTTTTTTTTGGAGAGAGCCAATTTACCAACACCTCACTGAAAAATGGGTGCCCAAAGACTTCATGAAGCCATCCAGCTAGCCCCGTCTTAAATACCTCTGGATTCTTTGTACATGAAAGAAGAAACACCCCTCTTTCCTACTTAGGCCACTGTTGCCTTAATTCCGTGGTTCCTTGCAGCCCATCTAATACCCATGGATACATCTAACCCTAAGATTTAAGCAATAAAGTCAAGGATTTAAATGACACTTGGCAAAACAAAGCTTGCATGACTAGGAGGGAGCCTGGACCACACGTAGGTGTGGAGGAATTGGGCCACAGTGAAAATGTGAGCCGAGAACAAGAAAATCATACCCCAACGTCCCCCCAGGGGGGTGGAAAGTGCTGTCAAAAGTAGGAGATGCAGGATAAGAAAATTAAGAATCCCGCACCTGTTCTTATTCTGTGACTGTGTAGACATCACACACTTTGTATCCAGGTAGGAGACAAAAACAAAGAAAACCTGGAACTTTCCTCCTCTCTCCAGGCATTCCATACATCCCAGGCAGCCATATCGGTTGTCTTGAGGACCACAGGCAGAATCAAAGAAGGAAGAAGGGTGATAGAATTTCTAGCTGTAACCTCTGGCCATAATTCCTCTCCATTTTCACATCCATTTTGCCAGAGTGCATTCCTCCTCAACTACCACTTTTTTCTAAAGATTTTATTTATTTATTTGACAGAGAGAGCACGAGCAGGGGGAGCAGCAGGCAGAGGGAGGGAGAGAAGCAGGCTCCCTGCTCAGCAGGGAGCCCGAAGACGAGGTGGGGCTCAATCCCAGGACCCTGGCATCATGACCTGAGTCTAAGGCAGACGATTAACTGACTGAGCCACCCAGGTGCCCTCAGCTGCCATTTTTGATAGATTGGAGTAGCTACTCTAAGTATACTGAGAGTTCTGGAAACCCACCCACGCTCCCCAGGAAGGAATGCTGGTATCAAGTATCGAGACTGATGTTCCCGGGAGCCTGGAATAGAGTGGTGACGGCAGTCTCATATTTGTCTCCCATGCTTACCAGCGATGAGTCTGACTCTCTCATCGCTGAAAGGGACAAAAAGAACTTACTTCTGGTTCAAGACCTGCCCAAAGTACACCATGATCTGCAATTATAGAGGCACAGCAAGATTCCTAGGCTACTTTAACAACATCTTGTTCCTTCATTAACCCAACAAATATTTATTGAGGATCTTCTGTGTGACTAGACGCTGGACATGGCCCAGAACAAGACAGACATGGCCTCTGCCCTCACAGAGTTCACAGATTATATCTCCAAAATCCAAAACTCCAGCCCATTCCTTGCTCAAGTCATCAGCCCTCCCTGCTTCCCACCCCCCCGCCCATCTCTTCCCTCTTGGAACACACATAAACTCTCTTCCTCAAACTCTCAAGCTAGCACTCTCCCTCTCTCTCTCTTTCTCTCTCTCTCTCTCTCTCACACACACACACACACACACACACACACAACTTCATTAGTAAGTTTCCTCTAAATTCCAGTATAGACAGAAAACATGATTGTATGTGCTAAGGTGGGAAAGAGGACTAACAGACAAATAACAGTCAGATCAAATAATTGCTAAAGCCATTCATTCATTCATTCATTCATTCATTCATTCAACATGCCTTCCTCTGGCCCCTGGTCCATGTAGAGCCCTGTGCTGGGTAGTACTGGGGACCCAGGGCTGACCACAGCAGCTGCAGCCCTGCCCTCCCAGGGCTCACCATCCAGTGGGGGAGACAGAACCCTCCCCAGCAGTGACAACCCGGAGTAGTCCAGGCTGGGATGTGGGAGCCCAGAGGGGGCTCCAGATCCAGCCTGGGGGTCCAAGAGGGCTTCCTGGGGAAGGGGTCAGCTGTGCTGGAGAACACATTAAGATGATAAACAAGAGCAACCATGCCCCTAGAAGGTATTATTTATGTTGACAGGTTTTAATGCATCATTTCTGTTTATTAACCCAAACCCTGGAAAGTGGAGGCTATTATTAGCTCCATTTTAGAAATGAGGAAGTTGGGGCACCTGGGTGGCTCAGTCAGTTAAGTGTTCAACCCTTGATTTCAGCTCAGGTCAGAATCTCAGGGTCATGGGATCAAGCCCTGCGTCTGGGGCTCTGAGCTCAGTGGGGAGCTTGCTTCAGATTCTCTCTCTCTCCCTCTGCCCCTCCCTGCCCCGTGCTCACTCTCCTCTCTCTCTCTCTCTTTCAAATAAATAAATACATCTTTTAAAAAAATGGAAATGAGGAAATTGAATTCTCACTACCCTGGGCCCTGCCGCCATGGAACTTACAGCTTAGGAGGCTCAGGAACACCAGAGGAGAGATTGCTCAGCGTGGAGCACCAGGAAGGCTTCTAGGAAGAGGCACCGGCTCAGTCGTGAACTGAAGTGTGAGTAGCCATTGCCAGGTGGAGAACAGAGGAGACGTGTCCCAGCCTGAAGGTGAGCAAACACAGTTTATTTAGAGGGACGGCAAGGGCTTTGGTCTGGCTGACTTGTAAAGTGGAAGAAGAAGAAGTGACGTCATGCTGTCATCAGGGGCTGAGTCATGTGGGACCCACAATCGAGACCTTGTCCTTCGTACGACAGAAAGCTGCCTGTCAGAGGGTATGGCTCTGATTGGTCATCAGCGGTAGAAGTAGGCTGGGGAGGGCAGGCCTCATATCCTACCTTGGGCTGTGAGAGGCCTTCGGGATTTGGAAGGGAAGAAAGAGGGAACCCCCTTGGGGAGAGGCACCACTACACCCCTGCACCTCAGTGAACATGGGGGTGGGAGCTGGCCGGAGATGACAGAGAGGAAATGCCCACTCTGGTGGCCAGCCTGTTCTTGGGGAAGGACAGGCAGGGTGGTGGCAGTTTGGGGGTTTCTTTCCGTCTTTTTTCCCTCCTAACCTCAGAGTGTAGAAGATGAAAAGTCTGCCCCGGGACACCAAGAATAGTTTCTGCTATTTGTGGAACACCTGAACAAATTTACTTGTTTAACCATATAACTTACTTTCAAATAACTTATTTAACCATCACCACATGGTTTTTAGATTCCCCTATTTTACGGATGAGAAGAAAGGAGGCAAGAGAAATGATCCGGGCTGTTGAGGATCACCAGCTACTCCTAATTGGTGAAACCAGAATTTGAAGCAAAAGAGTCACACTCCGGACTCCCACTCCCTCCCCTCCCTTTCCTCTCCATGCTCTCTCTCCCTTCCCCAACTCCTCCCTTCTCCCCTCCCTCTTCTCTCCCCTGCCCACTCTTTCTGCTCCCCTCCCTCCCCCTTCCCCCCTACCCAGCCTCCAGGTTCCTAGATCAGACCCTTGGGACAAAACTTCACATCTGAAATTGTAGAGGCTCCAGTTTACTGCCTTGAGGGTCTCTGGGGAGTAAGCCCTGCACTGCAACCCTCTACCTTGTTGGCAAGAGCACTGGCTAACGATTTGGCAATATCCTCCCAAACCACAAATGTGCATGCCCTTGGACCCAGCCAATCAGCTTCTAGGAGCGGGTGGAACTGATTCCGTCCCACAGTCCCACACCGGGCAAATGGCGTGGTCGTGGTTACTCGTGGAGCCACCCTCTGCATGGGCAAAGCACTGGAAATACCCAAAAGGCACATGCACTGAGGACAGGTTCAAAACTGATGGTGTGTTCATGCACAGGAACACTTTGACTAAAGGAGAGTGGTTTCAAGGAGATCCCAGACCACCCCCAGGGCTCAGAGGTGGGGCGGGGGGTTCCCAGGAGGGGCTGTCTAGGGAATGGTAGAACATCTTGCCTCAACCCACCCATTCCAACTGGCAACAATCTCCCCCCATCATACCCTCACTGAGGTTCATCGAGACCTGAAAGAAGACCTTTACTTGAATTCAGCGATTTTGATAGCACGGTACTTTTGGCCTTCCCAAGTATTTATTGACCCAACTTTTTTTGTGAGGGGGAAGGGAAGGCCAGGAATACCAGCCACCGAAGTCCTCCCACTGACCCTCCCACTGACCCTCCACTCATCCTAGCCCCATCCCTGAGACCCTCCCTTTTCTTCACCCCATCTCTTGCTGCATCCTTAACCTTCACCCCATCCCTGACCCCGGGCTCTGCCTTGACCCCACTTTTGAGCTTCTGAGGGCCCGTATCATTCCCTTTATGTGACGTTGTTTAAGACCAGGGTTCTGATGGCTTGTTTTCAGACCAAGGCTCCATTCCTGTCAAAGAGGAGTCAGATGTCCAGTGGAAAAGAGTATGGGATGAGTATGGGAAGTATGGTGGGCCCCAAATCTGAAGCTCAAACATCAGTGGAGGAGGGGGCAGCCTCCGACCATCCAGAGCTCTGAGAGGAGGCTCCCTATGTGCAGTAGCTGGGGAGCACTGGAGGAGGGGAAACCCCGGAGAGTGACAGCATGGTCCAGAGGAGGAACAGAGCAGGGGCCACAGGTTCCGGATTCAGAGATAACTCAGCACCCCAGAATGAGAGTGCCAGAAAATTCAGAGATTTCCCAGAGACTAGTGTCTATGTTTCCATTGAGAAATTCACCTACATCCAGGGCGAGAGACACCTGGCATCAGAACCACCCTCCCACAGCCATGCGCCATGAGTGAGCACCAGCTCCAAGTCAAAGACGTCAGCGGGAGACAAAACCCTCCAAACCGACCAAAGCCTAAAAGGGGAACTGTCTAGAAAGATAGAGGGATGTTACAGAACAAGGGTCAGAGCTGCCAGGGGGTGCTGGTGGGAACCATAGCCAGGATGGGCACAGCTGGGGAGCAGGCAGTCTCCCAAGCTCTGTGTCTGGGTCTCTCTGTCATCTCTTAGTTCTCTCACATCTCACTCTCTCTATGCTCGCGTCTTCCTCTCCTCTCTCGTTCCCTCAAACGCATCTCTTTCTTTGTATCTGTTTCTCTCTCTCTCCCTACCTCCCAGTCACTGCCTCTGAGTGTCTCTATTTCTCTCTCTCTCTCTCTCTCTCTCTCTCCGTCCATCTCTCTCTCATTCTTCTCTCTGTTGTCTGTGGCTCTAGGACCATTATCATCACCAGACAGGATGGTGTTCTCTGCATTAATCTGTTAACATCTGTTTCCCTCCAGTAGAAAGTGGGCTTCACAGAGGCAGAGATTTTTGTCTGTGTTATTTTCTGCTGCCTTCCCCGTGCCTGGAATAGCGCCTGGAATAGCGCCTGGTTCAATAAATTTACATTGAATGGAGAATGGGTGAATCATCATTCTCACCAACATTATTACTCAGTGATAATCTGTGAAAACACTGATACTAGTTGTCATTCTTACAGCTACTGTCTAGTGAGTACAAACTATAATACCTGGAATTGGGCGAAGCAGTTACTTGTTTAAGCCTTACAAACCCTCCTGTGAAGAGAGTACCGTCATCATGTCCATTTCTCGGAGGAGGAAAGCGAGGGGAAGCAATTTGTCCAGTATGAGCCCAGGCCTTGTCTGCCTTCAGAGTCCAGAGGGTTTAGGCCTGTTGGTTAGGCCCAGATCCCCCTCGGGATCTGGGGATGCCTGGGTGGCCCAGTCAGTTAGGCGCCTGTCCGTCTTAGGTCATGATCCCAGGGTCCTGGGATGGAGTCCCGCATCAGGCTCCTTGCTCAGCGGGAAGCCTGCTTCTCCCTCTGCCTGCAGCTCCCCCTGCTTGTGCTCTCTCTCTCTCTGACAAACGAATAAATTAAGTTTAAAAAAAAAAAAAGAATTCGGGATCTGTCCTGATTGTAGGTTGGAATGTCAGCTTGTGGCACTTAGCAGTCTTGACCTTTAAAAAGTGAAGTAAGTCAGTCAGAGAAAGACAAACACCAAAATATTTCACTTAGGTGGAATTTAAGAAACAGAACCCAGGTAGGGGGGAGGGAAGAGACAGGCTCTTAAATACAGAGAAGGACCTGGGGGCTGTCGGGGGTGGGGGGGTGGAGGGGGAATGGGAAGAACAGGTGAGGGGGCTTAAGAGTACACTTGTTGCGGTGAGCACCAAGAAACGTATAGAAGTGTTGAATCCCTATACTGTACACCTGAGATTAATACGACACTGTGCTTGTTCACACGTCACGGAGAGAGATGAAAGCCCCCGCTCAGTCCCGCGCAGCGTGAGCGGGTCTCTCCGGCGGCGCGCAGGCGCGGAGGCAGCCGCGCCCCGGCCACTCCCCCGGCCGGGTCTGGCGGTGAAGATCTGGGAGCGTCCCGCGCGCCTGTTCGCTACTGCCGCTGGGCAGCCGCCGATTCAAGGCTGCATTTCCCGGGAGGCGGCGGCGGCGGCGGCCGAGGGAGAACGAGCCCCGCCGACCAGGGAGGAGGCTCGTCGGGAGCGGCGACCCAGCTGCCGGGAGGAACCGAGGATGGTGTGGCCGCTGCTGCTGCTGATTCTGCTGTCGCTGCCCTGGGTGCCCACGGAAGCCGGTGAGTGACATCCTTCCACCCCGCGGCGCGTTGGCCGCTGCTGCCCCTCTCCCTCCGCACTGGCAGGATGGTCGGCCTCCCCGGGGGCTGGAGGAACGAACGGGGCGGAGGCTCAGCCTCCCAGAAGGCTGCCAGAGTCCCTGCCCGTAGAGCCAGCCGTAGTCTAGGAAAGTCCTAGCCCACAGCCGAGCATGAATGATTCATGCCCAGACACCTCACCTCCCACTCCTGCTCGCTGCGGCCACACCCCAACAGGCTGTGCCCGCTGACCTCGTCAGAGAATGCTTTAAGGGGCTGGGTCAAGAGGGCGGGGCACACAACCCATTCCCGCTTCTGACCGCAAATGTATGGCTCTAAGAGCATGGCCATTCATTCCTTCATGCGTGCATGCGTTCATCCCACACTCGTTTACTATGTGTCAGGCAGTGTTCCAGGCCCTGGGGATACAGCTCTGAAGTCAGACGGCCCTGGTTTCAAATGAGCTTTTGGCATTTAATACCTGTGTGAGCTCAGGAGAGTTTCCTAAACTCTCTGTTTCCCTAAAATGTGTTGTGGATGGTGGGGGGAGGTGGGGTGGAGATTTACCTACCTTGTAAGACTGTGTCTTGGGAGGATGCTGAGCAAAGTCGGATGCACTCAGTAAGAACAATAATGATAATGATAATTCATATGAACATTATTAATACCGAATGCAGACTTGGGGAAGTCACAGTCGCTCATCTCATCATTTCCCAAAAGGTGATTCCAAGAACACCAAGCACTTCTCCAGAAAAGAGGGGCCCGAGGCTTGAGGAGTTCACGGAGGGCCACCAACTCAAACCTCTTAAGGAGATTCCCACTATGGGTCCCACTGTAACCTCCGTTTACAGATGAGGAGACGGAGGCACAGAGAAGGGAAGCGACTTGCCCAAGGCACCAGCAAGAAGTAGCAGGTCCAGTGCGTGAACCAAAATAGCGGACAGAGCCCCCTCTACCAGGACATTAGAGCCTGGTGCCCAGGAGCCAGGGCGCAGGGTAGACCTAGGCAAGTGGCTTGACCCTCAGAGGTGTGCTTGACCTCTCTGTCCAGTTGGGATGAAAATATGAGTGCACATCTCATGGGGCCATGGAGAGGGTCGCAGGAGGCCACTCGTAAGGAAACAGCTCAGTGTCTGGCACAGAGAAGGCACCTGAGTGTGGCCGTTAAACTTCACCCCATGTCATCTTCATGGCAACCTTGCCAGGGAGGAGACCTGCCGTCTGGTGGACGAAGACACCAGAGAAGGAGCCCCGCATGCCTAGAGCCACGCAGCACATCAGTGGCAGAGTGAGCATTCAAACCCACGCTAGCATGCTCACCACTCCCCGATTGCCTGTGTCCAAACCCTGCCTCCTCCACACAGCACGCTCCTAGCACACCGGCCCGCTACCTCCCAGCTTCCTCTTCCTCATAACACAATAATATTCATCTTGACAGAGTTGTTGGCACACGCTAAACCCCCTACGTAGATTTCATCACCTCGTTCACCCAGCCACCCTATTATGCTGTAACCACCCGCAGTTTACAGATGGCAAGACTGAGGCTCAGAGGAGTGAAACCGCTACACCCAGACTCAAGCTGCTGAGTAGCAGTACCGGGGTTCAAAGAACTTACCTCCTTCCCACCTTCTCCACTATCTTTATTATTAATAATAAGAATGGATAGCATTGTGTTTATTTATAGCAGTAAGAGCCAGGACATATCGAGGACCTACTATGTGCTGAGGCCTGAGGCTGAAAGATTTTAATATGGAGCCTGGTGGGTTAGAGGTCAGGACTCCTGAGTGCAGACCACAGGGTTCAAATCCCTCTTCTGCCATTTACCCTCTCTGTGACTTGGAGCAAACAACCGGCAAACAACCCTCTGCCTTGGTTTCCCCATCTATAAAGTGGAGCTGGTGGTAGTGCTTGCTTCAAGGAGCTGTTTAAGGACTAAGTGCTGAGAAATGTGTGAAGCACTCAGAACAGCCTGTGAGTGTTAACTGTTATTAGTCCCACGTTACAAACTAGGAAAAAGAATCGGAGAGGTTAAGTAACCTGCCTGAAGCCTCACAGCAGAGGTCGGAAGGGATCCAAAATCCTTGGGTTATAATCGCCTCGCTTCTTGTGCCAGGATCCCCTACAAACCTTCTCCCAATCGGGGTCCATGCATAGTAATAATAATGATAATAATAGTAATACCATCGTTCATGGATCCTAAGACTTAGAATTTCTGCCCCTTTTCCCACCCCTCAGTCAGAGGTGCTGACACTGGGCTGATGAAAACGTTCTGGAACTAGATAGTGGTGATAATTACATACACAACGTAATGCCACGGAACTGTGCACTTTAAAATGGTTTAAATGGCAGATTCAAGTTTTTAACCACCGTATTGACCACAATTTAAAGCACCTATGGGGAAATACGGTAATCACAGCCCAGCGAAGCTGCGCGGACGCGGGCAGGTAACCGCAGACCGGGTCCAGCCCCGGAAGGGCCTCCCGGGCGCCCCTCGGCATCCAGAGCCGCGGACGCCCGGGTCTGACCTGCCCCGCCTTTCCCCGCAGGGCCCGGGACGGTCCGCGTGCTGGCGCCCACGCAGGTGCGCGGCCTTCTGGGCGCCAAGGTCGAGCTGCCGTGCCGACTGCCGCCGCTGGAGCACGGGGTGCGCGTGACGCAGGTGACGTGGACACGGCGGGATGCGGCGGGGAACGACGTCAACGTGGCGGTGTTCCACCCCACGCAGGGCCCCAGCTTTCCCGAGCCCGGCCGGTTGGAGTTTGTGGCTGCCAGGCGGGGCGAGGAGCTGCGGGACGGGTCGCTGGTCCTGCGGGACTTGCGCACCGAGGATGAAGCCAACTACACCTGCCGCTTCGCCATGTTCCCCGAGGGCAGCAGGAGCGCCAGCACCTGGCTCCGCGTGCTCGGTGAGCAGAGGAGTGGGGACAGAAGAGAGCTGCGGGGCGGGGTGGGGGGGGCGCTGGGGGAGGAGGCGGCGGCGCAGGGATGGAGCGGGGAGATTCTGTGGGGACAAAAGGAGGAGATGGGGCAATGATAGCGGCGGAAGGGGCTGGAAGCTAGGAACAGAGTTGGGATCCTGGAGAGTAAGGTTAAGATCTTGCAGACTGAGGGCAGAGCATGGGGGTGGGGGCGGGTAGTAGGGGGGACAGGGAGAATCCTCCCCGGGACCTGGGGAGCACGGAGGCCAGGGTTTGCCTCCCAGGTGGCTACCACCAGTTTGGCAAATGCTTTCATCTCAGATTCTCCTTTCCTCGCCTGTAAAATACGGTTAGTAACACGAGTGCTGCCCTCAGAAAGCACTCGGGAGGGTCTCGGGAGTTGATCCAGCTGAACCTTAGAACAGAGGCCCCTGTGAGCTCCTGATGGCTGTCAATCATTGTTACTCCTTTTGGTAAGGGAGAGTTGAAATAGACGGGAAGGAGGGCAGTTCTGATTCCCAGCAGAGGAGGCTTTCCCCAGCGGTGGCCCAAATGCCCTCCCAGGCATTGTCATGGACTCATGGTTCATGTTCCTGAAAAGAACATTTCCTCTTTGAAACTGAGTAAGTCTCTGTGAAGTGGAGATCCCTCTGAGGATTAGTAAGAGTTGACTCACCGTTCCTGTGTGTGAGTGCATGCCAGGAACTGATCCCTTACAGGACTGACTCCTGCACTGTTAAGTGCTTGGAATGGTGCCCACAGCACCCAGCACTTGTCATTTCAGCAAATCTGGGCCTTCAGGTCTTCAGAATGAGAGTAACACAGAACCAGTGAGTGGCCCCGGCGGGGGGGGGGGGGGGGGGGGCGCAGGCGGGCTCCCGGCATCTAGCCTCAGGGGCGCCTGGGGCTGGATTCAAGGAGGCTGTGCTGACTTTCCTGTTAGCGGGGCTTCAAAGTTGTTTTGGTGGATCTCAGTGGCCCACTTCACACTGAAGGTGCGGCTGTCCCAGGTGCGGGGGGAGCTCTTAAAAGGTTACATGGTACTTCCGTCGTGGTTAGATGTGTGACCAGGACCACCCAAGAGAGCAAGCAAGACCAATTGGAAAGGTGGAAAAAATTGCAGTTTGAGATCTCTGCAGCTGAGATATCATCTTCTCTGGCTGCAGCCAGAAATTTAGTAGAGCAGAGGGGGCGCCTGGGTGGCTTAGTCGGTGGAGCGACCGACTCTTGATTTTGGCTCAGGTCATGCTCTCAGGGTCGTGAGATCGAGCCCAGCGTCAGGCTCCATGCTGGGCATGGAACCTGCTTGGGATTCTCTCTTTCCTTCAGCCCCTGCCCCATCCCTGCTCAAGCCCTCACCTATGCCCATTCTCTCTTTCTCTCTCAAAAAAAAAAAAAAAAAAATTTTTTTTTAGTACAGCAGAAACAGGTTAGACCCATGCTACTAGGAGATGATCAGGCACTACCTGATTTCAAAGGAATATGAACAAGTCATCCTAACACTGTGGCCAGAGGATTGGCACCAGAACAATTTCATTATCAAAATCTGAATCGAGCACTCTGGTTACTCCCGGACGGGACGCCTCTGATAGCAATCTACCAAGCCAGGTAGTACAAGAGCAGAGAGGGTCTAGCCCTGGGGCCTGGACCGTTCCTGACTGCTTTAGAGTAGGCCGCAGACCCCAAGACCACCATAGCGGGAGAACCAGAGTAAACGTCCCTTTTGGAGGCATCGTGGGGCGCTGGCCATGAACCTGAAGAGACCATCATGATAGGAGATGTTGGTGGGGCTCAGAATGTCAGCATTCTGGGTATCTTAGGAACAACTGGGAAATGTGGAGCAACAGATGAAAAAAAATTAATCCACCTCCTTACTTTGTGAGAGCTTCCCTTGGACTGTAGGCCACATTCTGGAGCATCTACCATCATGATCCCTTAGGTGAATCAGAAGCAGCTGGAAACACAGCTTTTCACGTCTGGAATGAATCCCTCCCCAATTCCTTGCCAACATAGATAGACCTGGACCAACCCTCCTCTACCGTACATTAATTAGAAAGAAAGGTGTTGAATGGCAGCCAGTCCTTAAGCCTTGCCTATGTCTTTTGTTTTATTTTTGTAAAAGATGATGAGACCCAAAGAAAGGGAAAGCTGAGATTTTATGCCATGGCTTTTAAAATATTCATCAATTAGGCAGGGCTGGGAGGGAGCATCTACCCCAGAGAGTCAAGTTCTCTGCTGCCTCCTCGCTGGTACACTGTGAATAAAATTGAATGGCGTTTTGCAAATTATAAAATAATGTGTTGAAAAGCGCCTTTGGCTGTAGTTTTAATACTGAGTTCAGCTGTGAAATCCATCACGTGCCAAGTGAAGTACAAGTCAGGAAAAGCAAAATAAATTGACCTTAAGCCCAAGTGATCGAGTGGATTTGCTTTAACATGTGGAAAACTAGGTAATCTACTAGATTATTCCCAGCACCTGTGATTTCTTTTTCTCTTCATTAGCCAGAGATGACTAATTTAAATTTAGAAGCTGATTTTTAACTTAAAATTTCCATGAATAACCTATTCATTGCAGTTGCCTAGTATACTGTGTAACCATTGTTTTGGAAATTTTATGTAAAATTAAAACTACCAGTATTTTACCCCCCCCGCAAAACAAACCCACAACCAGTGAGTCAAATTTAAGAGAAATCTCCAGTCCATAATGACACTACACTAACAAGTAACGATGAGGAAGGAACCAAGCGGAGCCCCAGGTTTGGGAATCACCAGAATAATGAACAAGAGATGGTCACAGATGGGTTTGGAGTCAGACCTCCTGTGAAAGCCCAGCTCTGGCCCAAAGAACCGTGTGACCTCAAGCCTGCCTCCCCTTCTCAACTTCCAGAGCACTGCTCAGATCTCCTCTCCTCCATGAAGCCCTCCTTCATCACTCCCCCAGCACTGGGGCACCCCTTCTGGGCTCTCCCATCCCAGCCTTGCCCCCTCTGGGTTGCCGCTTTCTGGGGAAATCTGTCTTCCCCTTGGACTGTATACCCTCTGACGGCAGGGCTGGGGCCGCCTCGGGCATTGCTGGGTCCCCGACATTGCCCATCCTCCAGCCAGGCGATGTATTCAGTTCCCAATAATAATAATAATAGCATTTACTGAGCACTTCTTATGCACCAAGTACCATTTTAGGAGCTTTAGTTGCATATTCTCATTGCCTGGGATCCTGTCATTATCTCCCATTGACAGACAAAGAAACTGAGCACGGACATGCCCAAAGCCACCCAAGGGCTTAGGGACAGAGCTGGGATTTGAACCCGGTCCTCCGGGCTGCCCCGTTCTGCTGCTGCGCTGTTGGTTGAAAGACTGCAGGCGGGGACTGACCGGTCCCTTTTGCTCCTGTCCACAGCCCGGCCGGAGAACAAGGCTGAGACCCAGGAGGTCCCGCTCAGCCCACTCAGCCCGGGGCCTGTGCTTGTGGCCTGCTGCGTCTCCAGTGAAGGTCGCCCGCCTGCCCGGATCTCCTGGTCACAGCTGGATGGGAAGGCCAATGAGAGCCAGGTGCCAGGACACCTGCCTGGCACGTTCACCGTCATCAGCCTCTTAAGCCTAACACCCTCAAGCCAGACAGATGGCAGGACTGTTACCTGCAAAGTGGAACATGAGAGCTTCGAGGAGCCCGTCCTGCTGACCATGACTCTCGCCGTGCCTTGTGAGTGCACCCAAATGTGAGCAAGGATGAGGACCACTCCCCAACTGTCCCCACCCCCACCTTGTCTACATGGGGCCCCCTGGACCACAAATACTGTCCTTTATTGTCTGTACCAGCTTCTGAGGCCACAGTCAATGCTGCAGCCCAGCTTGTCTCCCCTGGCCCTCCTGGCCTCTGTCTACACTGACACCCCACACTGTCTCTCCCAGCTCCCTTGAACATGGCCTACACACACTGCGTCCACCTGCTTCCCTAGGCAGCTGTCTACACTGGCCTTGCCCACATTGCTACACTGTTTCCTGCATTGTCTACAACTCCCTTGTCCATTTGCTGCACTGCCTTACCATCGTCTACACTGGGTGTCTGAATATTGCCTCCTGGGCAGGTGCTACACTGATTCCCTCAGGCACTGTCTACCCTGGACACCCTCAACATGGCCACTGGGTCTGAGGGAGGAGGGGATCAACACTGGCTCCTCTCCATAAAAAAACACTCTGTCTCATTGGCCTTCCCCATGAGGACTTTGGAAAGTCTTCCCTGTCGATCCCATTTGGGATGGATCAACAGCAGCTGAAGCAGGGCCATCCAGGATTCTTCCCAGCAGGACTTGTCAGAGCCCTGAATATGCTCCTGTGTGTTATGGGTGTCTAAACAGCCTTTTCTAAGAGGACACCCATGGCATGCCAGGACCTGGCTACCCAGGAAAATGACTAGAGAGAAACAGGTCCCTAGAAGCCTTCTCAGCACCCTGCTACCTCCCACCATACCAAGGACTTCTGGCCTTCTGTTCTCTGGGGGAATCCATTGCCCCAGACTCCTCACGGGCCTCTCTCTGTCTTGGGCTGTTCCTGAAAACCCATTGAGGCCTTTTTCTCATTATGACATGATCCCACGTATCTTTAGGCCCCTGTGAAGGGTCCCTGTCTCTGAGCCTGTGTGTCTGTTTCCTCCAGACCCCCCCGAGGTCTCCATCTCCGGCTACGATGACAACTGGTACCTCGGCCGCAGCGAGGCCACCCTGAGCTGTGACGTCCGCAGCAAACCGGAGCCCACAGGCTATGACTGGAGCACGTGAGTCCGGGGTGGTCCTGGACTCCCGGGTCTGAGGGAGGAGGGGGTGGGAGTCTAGATTCCTGGGTCTGAGGGAGGAGGGGCTGGGGGCCCGGACTCTTGGATCTGAGGGAAGAGACAGGTACAAGAAAGTGAAAAGAGAGAAGTCGAATTTAGGCTCCAGTAAAATTTTCTGTCTTGTATGCACAGTTTATGAGGAGGCTTAGTTCAGGTTCACCATTACACCTGCTCTTTTTGGTTGTCTGCTGTGTGCGGGTCGGTGGTCACCTCATCCCGTGTGACCCCCACGCTCCGGGCACAGGCAGCGCTGTCACTGTGCCCAGGGTCGAAGATAAGTTGGGCCCCAGTAGGGACCCATCTGCACGGCTCCCACTGCCGCAAGGGCACCCAAGGGGCTCCAAATTGATCCGCTTAACCTCTGAGCTGCGCCACCTGCCCGGTCACCTCGTGTAACCCACTCAGTCACTTCGGACGGAGCGGGTGCTGTCGCCATTCTCTAGATGAGGAAGCTGAGGTGCAGAGCACTCAGATTTCCTCAAATTCATAGCAAGGCTAGGCTGAAGAGGGGGGAAAGAAAAAGGCAAAGGGATTGATTGTTTTACGTAATTTGTATCAGGCTTTTGTTCTTATTACAAAATAACCTGTGGCCATTGTAGAAACTTTAGACAATCTGGTTATGAGCAAAAAGAAAATAAGACAAAGTCAAGTGTCCATAAATACCCACCGTTACCCTTTGTTATATACCCCTCCCACCTTTTATTCTCGACGCTTCTCAACAAAAGCTGTGCTGTGGGCACCATTTTGAAACTTTGCCTCTGTCTTAGGATCGCCTTCCCACATCACAGCACGTAGGTCCCCACCCCCATTTCCCCCAGCAGTTCGTCAGGCGAATCTGTAGACATGCAGAAAAGATGTAAGACTTTCCCAGCGAGCACTCGAGAACCCACCCCGTGGATTCTCCTGCTTACCTTTTACTGGATTTGCCCAGTCACATCCATCAGTCCATCCCTCTCCCCATCCATCTGTCTTCTACCTGTTACGCACGTCAGAGTCCCCACAGCCCCCTTTCGGTGCTGCTGGGATCCCATTCCATCCAGTGCGCATGCCATCAGTTACTTAGCTAACCCCAGACGTGGGATGCGGGGCTCGCGTCCCCGCTTGCAACCACGCAGATGCCACGGTGGCGCCCAGCCCCCACCGGCCGCCACTGTGGCTAGCCACAGCCGGGTCTCTACGGTCAGTCAAAGGAATCGCAGTCAAAGGTCTTCCAGTGGCGTTGGCAGATGCCTCTCCTTGTCCTGCCTCAAAGCACCGTGATCCAGGCTTGTGAGCCACAGGGCTGGGTTTCCGTGCCGGCTCTGTAGGACGCCCAGAACCCCATGCTTGCGTCTTCTCTGTCCACTAAACCGAAGCGTTTTTGACTGTGCGCTGTGTGCCGGATCGCTCGGGCCAACGTGCCCCGGTAAATAAAACAGACCAGGTTCCCTCCCCTCCTGGTGCTTCCACTCTAGTGGGAGAGGGAAACAAGAGACAAAACAACGCTGTGACGTCCACGGTGCGTCAGATGGGATAAAGGGATAAACGCTGCGGAAGAGGTAAAGCAGAGGGTGGGGGCGCGCTACAGTTAAAATCGGGTGGCCAAGAAAGAGTGTCGCTAAGGTGACATCTGAGCAGAGGCCTGAAGGAAGGGAGGATGAGCTGGGTGCGTACCCAGGGGAAGAGCATTCCGGGCAGAGGGAACAGCATGTGCAGAGACCCTGAGGTGGGAGCCTAACTGGAGTGTTCGAAGATCAACAAGGAGGCCACCGTGGACACAGAGCAGAGGGGAGAGTCACAGCCTGTGGTCCGTGGTATCTGCAGCCAGCGCGTGGGGTCTGTGGCTGCGTGAGCACTTTGGGTTTATGCTGAGTGAGGCGGGAGCCACGGGAGGGCTCTGAACAGTGAAGGGATGTGAACAAGTTAGTTCTAACAAGATCTCTCCAGCCGCTGCATGTGGGAACAGAGTGGAGTATGGGGTGGCGTGGAGGCAGGGAGCCCTGTAGGCCCAGGAGCAGGGGGATCAGCCTGGGGTGGTGGCCGGGGAGGCCTTGTGGTCAGAGTCTGGAGAGGTTTTGGAGTTGGGGTGGATGGCACCTGCTGTTAAGTGGGATGTGGGTATGAGAGGAAGAGTTGGGAAATTCCAGGGTTGCTCTCAGCTGAGGTTGGAGATGGCATGAGTATACAGTGAGAGTTCACACCTGCCGCTTCCTCCCCCATCGGTCTCTCCCAGGACCAAGGGGCCCCTGCCACCTTCTGCTGTGGCCCAGGGCTCTCAGCTCCTGATCCAGACCGTGGATGAGTCCATCAACACAACATTCATCTGCCGTGTCACCAACGCCCTAGGGACTGGCCAGGCAGAACTGCCCATCCTGGTCAGAGGTGAGGAGCCCCTTGGGTGGCAAGAATAGAGGGACCGAAAGAGGAGGCCACAGCAGGATTCCCTCTGAGGGAGGAGTTAGGAGGTGGTTCCTGGTTAAGGGAGTCCTCAGACACAAGAATGCTTTCTGATTCCCATCCTTCCCCTAACCCCCCTCATGAAAGGACCAGTGGAGTCAGCTCTACTCTCTGTTAACTCACCCTCTGTACCATTGGAACTATTGTGCAGCCCCCTGGATACACCCCCTCTGCAAACCCAGGCTTGGGTAGCTGTGTGAGGCTTGTCCCAAGGGACTCAGGCCTTTCCAAGCATCTGAGGCAGTAGTCTCTATCAATTGCAAATGATAGAAGCACAACTCAAAATAATCTAAGCAAAAAACGGGACTTTATTGAAAATGCACCTTCAGGTAGGGTTGGATCCAGATGCTCCAGCCATGAAACCCAGGAACTTTCCTTTCCATCTCTTGTCTCTGCTTTTCTCTGTATTCTCAGGGAGGTGAGATGTCCCTCGGCAGTCACAGCCTCCTGTCTTACCTGTTTAGTAATCCCAGGGGCAAGAATACACCACCTTCAGTAGCTCTAGCCAAAGTCCCAGGGCTGAGTGTCATTGCTTAGCTGGGGTCCTGGCACCCCCGTGAATCTATCACAACAGCCAAGGAGAATGGAATGCTCTGATCGGCCAGGCCTGGGTCAAAGTCCCATCCTAGGAACCAGAGGGTGGAGTCAAGTCCTCCTGAACCGTGACTAGGAGAGGCCGAGTGGTAACTTCCTTAAAGGATGAGGAGTCATGTTTTGGGGGCAGGTGAAGACCCCAGGAGCCTCTGAACCTAACCCTGCTTCCTTCTTCTCTTCCAGAAGAACCTCCCAACCATGCGCTACAACAAGGCTTGTCCACCGAGAACATCATTATCCTGACTGTAGGAGTCGTGGTCGGTCTGGCCCTGCTGGGGTTCCTGATTTATTTCCGGTTGTTCCGACGCCCCCGTGAGTCCCTCCTCTTTGGCATATCTCCTGCCTGTCGGCTGTGAATGAGCATCACCACAGCCACCATGCTTGGCCACCTACTATGATCTAGACTCAGCCCCGCGTACGGCAGCCTCCCGCTGAATCCTCAGCACCATGAGCTTCCCCCATCTGACACAGGAGGACACCAAGTTCAGAGACTCCTGTTCCCTGGATCGTTGATTCCTTTTTACAAATGTTTAGGGAGGAGGGGCTCCAGCTGGCGCCCTGATCCCAGCTCTTAAGGGCCTGATGCTCTTGACTGAAGGGCTCCGCACAGGCGGTTCCCCTGCCTAGACCACCCTCCCCACGGCTCCTTCTGGTGAAGCGCTTTGGCTTCATAAGAATCGCTGCAGAAAAGCCATGTCTTGCAGAGGACTTTCTGCGTGCCGAGCACTGAGCCCCACCGTATAGAGGAGGAAATGTTTGCTTGGAGAGAGGAGGTCTGCCAGTGGGAGGGCAGTTCTGTGGACTACAAAGCTCGTCCCCTCAGCCAGTAAACCAAACTGCCTCCTCACGTCCCAGCTGGAGGCCGCCTCCTCCAGGAAGCCCTCCCTGATTTCCCAGAGTGAGCCAAGCACCTGCTCTGGGCTTCCCAACCCCAGCCCTTGCCCACTCTGGGACATGCCACTGTGTGGGGGCTCGTCTGTCTCTCCAGTGAACTGTGATCCCCAGGAGGACAGAGCTAGAACTGTCATGGTCACAGCTATGTCCCCAGCCCCACCTACCACTGGGCCGGGCACAAAGGAGGCACTTGAGGAAGTGCCAAGCGTGGCATCTCCAGAGCCAGACTGACTGCCTGTGTCTCGGCCTGCATTCTACTGCTTTATTTTGTCATCAAGGGCAAATGACCTAATCTCTTTGACTCAGTTTCCTCCTCTGTGAAATGAGAGTAAACATACCTGATAGTTCAGGTGAAGCACTTAGTGCAGCATTTGGCACATCGTAAGCCACGCACTAGGTGTATGTAGGCTCTGATTACTGTTGCCGCCAGTATGATTACCATGGTTAATAGGAGCTCCTTGAGAACAGGAATTTGGGGCTGTTTTGCTCACAGCTATGTCTCCTGCACCTAGAATGCAGCTGGCGCAAAGTAGACATTGCCTATTTGCTGAATAAAACCCTGTTTGATGGTTGAGGAAACTGAGGCACAAGGTGTCAATTGCCCGAGGGCACACAGCTCCTAAAGGACAGAGCTGGGGTTTGAAACCTTCTTTCAGGTTCCAGAACCCATGCCGAATAAATAAATATTCATTTATACTTGGTAACTGCATGAATAGCTGGGTGAGGCACATACCCCAGTCCTGTTTTACAAATAACCACTGTGGGGAGTGGCTCCCCCGTGTCAATAGCAGAGCTGGGACTGAGAATTCAAGGGGCTCTGCCACCCACATGTGTCCTCTCGTCATGCTGTCCGGCATTGTCATTCATTCCTGACAAGTTCTCCTCCTCTTTCCCTAGGTCAGGACCAACACAGCTCTTCTGCTAATGGTGTAAGTGTGGTGGTGGGGCTGAGGAGGGTGTGGGGGTCTGCATGAACCCCAGACTAATTGCATGGACATTCCCAAGGAGGGGACGGTCATCTCTGGGCACCTGCATCGCTTAGTCAAAAGCCAGCACGGTATCAGGAGCCAGGTCCCGGATCTTTTCTTCAGATGCCCTGAGCCGTAGTTCCCAACCTTTCCTGCTGGGCAGACTCCCCTGAAAAAGTTTGCTTAAAAAATGCAGGTTCCCAGGCCCTGCCCCGTGAGCATCTGGTCTGGTGGGTCTGTGCTGGGTCCTGGGGATCTGCATTTCCATAGGTGCCCCTTCCCCTCCCCACTCGTGACCACACCTTAAGAAATGCTGCCCCAATCACTTCTTGGCCTTTTGGCTAAGATCGACTGAGGAAGCACTGCCCTGACTTCCAGGGAGAGGGGAGGGGACAGGCCTGCACGCTGGGCTCCAGTGGGCAGATTCTGTTTGGAAGGGCCCTGAGGCTAAAGTCTGAATGTCTGCCTTCTAGTGTGCCTCCTATAAAGCTGTGGACGTCAATGACAGGTCTACCCAGGACCCACTGGCAGAGAGTGAAAGGTGACAGCGTCAGGACTGTTGGAGAGAGACACTGTGGCTGGGGAGGACCTGGACCTCGCAGCTGGCCCCTGGCCCCAGGGGATGAAGTCTCCCTCCAAAGAGACTGGCCACCCTTCTCATGCCAGACCTCAAGAATGTCCCCTCCGCCCTGCATTGCACTGGCAGGTGCAAGTTCAGGTGCCCCCATGACCCCTCTCAGGTGCAGTCATTTGCTGGAAGGAATCGCAGCACTCAGGAAAGCCATTGTGCTCATGGTTATGGTTTATTACAATGAACAGATGAGGTTAAGGTGAAAAGCCTTAACCTGTGAAAAACCACATGGGGCACCATCCGGGCAAGTCCTGCCACCAGCTATCAGTTACACAGTGTCAATTTCTCCCAGCGATGATGTGTGACAGCGCACAGAGTCTCGCTAACCAGAGACACTCACCTGAGCCTTGGTTTCCAGGTGGGGCCCCACAGACTATTCCAACTGCCAGGGAATTTTTGTAAGAATTTGATTTTCTGGCCTTAAGCTTCTAAATGTATGTATCCGTGGCATCCCTGTGGTTACAAGAAAGAGCCACCAGCCCTTGTCCAGAAGAGAACCCGAGGCTGGAGCTCAGCTGCTCAGGGCTGTTCAAGGAGCAGGAAAAATGGTGGACATGAACTTGAAGGATGTGAGGTCCTGGCACCTTCTGCCAAGACTCAGGTCCTGGGAGAGCATCTGTAGCCAGCATGCTGGGCTTGGCGGGACCCCGGAGAATGGGAGCCAATCACCCACCAAGGAAAGCAAAGTGTCAAAAACAAGGAGGAAGAGGTCCTGGGGGAGCAGAAGCCACAGCTGTGCAAGACACATGGATGGCCCTCAGACCAGTGAGGATACAGCCTAAGGTCCCGGAGGCAGAGCTGTTCAGATGCAACGGACCCGTTTCCTTTATAACAGACTCCGATCTCGGGATCAGGCACGAGAATTCCTCTTACAGCAAGACCCATCTGTTGGGGAAGTACTTGGCAGGAAGTAAGACTGTGGGTCAGGATGCTAAACTAGAGCATGAGGCATGAGCTGCTGTGCAAGAGAAAACAAGTCCTTGGGATCTGTTCTGGACAGAAGGAAGAGTGTGGCAAGACCTGTCAAGCTGCACCGTGTCAGGGAGATATTGCTGCTACATAAACCCTTATCCATCCCCATCCACAAATCTTTTATTAATAAAATTAATTTATTACACCTTGAGTGGCTGTGTGCAAGGGAGGACTTTTGTAGGAATTGGGGAGGGGCTGAGTTTTGTGTGGACTTCCAGCATGTGGGACAGAACCAGAGGTGTGGGAGCAAGAACGTGAATCAAGGCGGGGGGGGCGCCTGGGTGGCTCAGCCAGTTAAGCAAATGAGTCTTGATCTCAGCTCAGGTCTTGATCTCAGGGTCATGAGTTCAAGCCCCACGCTGGGCAAGGAGCCCACTTAGAAAAAGGCAAAAGAAGACCCCAGGGACGTGAGACCCCAGGTTTCTCAGATGCCCTGGGGAGAGCTCATCTCATTTCTCTCTAATATTTTTATCTAGGTCCTATATAAACATCCCCAAATACAAAGTTATAAAAAGCATCAGGGGTCCACTTTGAGTTAATTTGCACATAGAGAATAAGGTGAGGGTCCAGCTTCATTCTTTTGCTTACGGATACCCAGTTTTGCACAAGCTTGTGAATGTGATTGAAGCCATAAAACTGTGCACTTAAAAATGCCAGAAATGGCCAATTTTTGTCATCTCTATTTTCCCACAATTTTTAAAAATTAACGTAACATACCAAAAGCCACCAAATAGTACATCTTATTTTTTTAAAGATTTTATTTATTTATTTGACAGCACACAAGCAGGGGGAGCAGCAGGGGAACCCAGGACCCTGGGATCATGACCTGAGCTGAAGGCAGACACTTAACCGACTGAGCCACCCAGGCGCCCCACTATGTTGCTTTTTGTAAAAAGACTGAAGACCCTCTCTCAGAATTTCCAGAAACCCTAGTAATAAAAGTAAGGTGCAGAACGGTGTGTCTGAGACGTTACTTAGTATGGAAAAAAGAATATATATTTGTTCTCTGTGCATTAATAACCCCACCTGACAAGCAATGCCATGGTTATCCTGGTAGGCGTGGTAGATAAGATATGTTCCCTTATACGGCGAAAGGACTTTGCGGGTGTGATTAAGTCGAGGACCTTGAGATGGGGAGCTTATTCCGGATGACCCGAGTGGGCCCGGTGTAATCACAGGGTTCTTTAAAGGGAAGGGGGAGGGCGCCTGGGTGGCTCAGTTGGTTAAGCGACTGCCTTCGGCTCAGGTCATGATCCTGGAGTCCCAGGATCGAGTCCCACATCGGGCTCCCTGCTCAGCAGGGAGTCTGCTTCTCACTCTGACCCTCTTCCCTCTCGTGCTCTCTATCTCTCATTCTCTCTCTCTCAAATAAATAAATAAAATCTTTAAAAAAAAAAAAAGGGAAGGGGGAGGCAAGGACTTCAGAGGAGGAAGGAGGGAGGGGGGAGCGGGAGGAGGAAAGGCACGTGATGGGCTGTATGCTAAGGAATGCTGGCAGCACCTCTAGAAGCTGGAAAGGCAGGGAACGGATTCTCACCCCACCCGGAGTCTCTACAGGAACCAGCCCTGCTGACACCTTGATTTTAGCCCATAAGACTCTGGACTTCTGACCTCCGGAGCTGTAAGAGAAGAATTTTGTGTCTGAAGCCACTAAGCTTGTGGTGACACAATTCCCCCTCTAAAATGTACTATTTGGGGGGCGCTTGGGTGGCTCAGTCGTTGGGCATCTGCCTTCGGCTCAGGTCCTGATCCCAGGGTCCTGGGATCGAGCCCCACATGGGGCTCCCTGCTAAACAGGGAGCCTGCTTCTCCCTCTCCCACTCCCTCTGCTTGTGTGTGCACACTTGCTCGCTCGCTCTCTGTCAAATAAATAAAATATTTAAAGAAAAATTTTTTAAGCCACATAGTTCTCCACAGGGGGACATCCAGGACTTTTTCAACCAACCCCTTATTGGACAGGTGTTTGTAGTATTTCTGCCCCTTTACCATTACAGTGATGTAGCGAGTGGCCTTGTGCACTGTCACCCTCCCCCCAGGTCATGCTGACCCATGAGTGTAGGACACACTTCCGGAGGTGAAATTGCTAGTCAAAGAGTATGTGCCCCTGTTGTTGCGATAGATACTGACAACTTGCCCCCATAGAAGTCTCTGTTCCCGGCAGCGATGGATGCGACCGCTTGTTTCAGTGGGGGAAGCATCTGTGGATTCCACAAGAGCCAGAGTCGAGAGTGGACCCTGAATTTTGGTGTGGGAGTTGTATAAACTTCACACACGATTGGGAGAACCACGATCATCAATCCTGGACAAGGAAGGGGAGGGGGTCTGATGGAGAGACTAAAACAGCCCAAACCCTCCCTGGGCACTGCTCCGACTTGGAAGAAGAGGCGTTCCAAGCCGATACTACCCCACCTCGAGCAGCTTCAAGGTTCTGGAAACCTCTGGGTGGCAGACGGCTCGGGCCGAGGATCCTGGGCTACTGAAATCTGAGGGAAAAGGGGGTGACCCCGCAATTTCACTTCTAGGCCGGTACCCAGAAAAATTGAAGCTAGGTCCTCAAATACCTGCACACGAATGTTCACAGCAGCACTGTTCCCAATGGCCAACAGGTGGAGACACCCCAAATGCCTGTCAACAGATGGATGGGAAACCAAACGTGATCTATTCACACAGTGGAATGTTATCCACGAGAAAAGGAGGGAAGCATGCACACACACTACAAGAGGAATGAACCCCGAAAGAGTGAAAGAAGCCAGACACGAAAGGCTGCAGAGTGTAGGATTCCATCTATAGGAACTGTTCAGAGCAGGCAAACCCGTGGAGACAGGAGAGAGATCAGTGGTTGCCAGGGCCTGGGGGAAGGAGGTGACAGGGAGTGACCACTTAATGGGTTCAAGGTTGCCCTTTGGCATGATAAAAAAAAAATGGAAATAGGGATGATGGTTGCACAATACTATGAATGTACTAAATACCACTGAACTGCACACTTTAAAATGGTTAAAATGAGGGGCGCCTAGGTGGCTCAGTCGGTTAAGCATCTAACTCTTGATTTTGGCTCAGGTCATGATCTCAGGGTCGTGAGATAGAGCTCCATGTGGGGCTCCATGCTCAGTGGGGAGTCTGCTTGAGATTCTCTCCCTGTCCCTCTGCCCTTCCCCTCTCTCTCCCTCTCTCTAAAACTAAAAAATATAATAAATATAAAATATGGTTAAAGTGATCAATTTTATGTGTTAGTTTTACCACAATTAAAAAAAAAACTTTAAAATTTTTATAGAAAAAAAAATGTTTCCATTTCCCAGCTCTTAGGGGCAGAATTTTTAGGAACCAATTAAATTCATGAAGTGAAGGATGGGTAAATTTTAAAGAAAAAAATAATAACTTTTTAAAAAGATTTTATTTATTTGTTAAAGAAAGCGCACAAGCAGGGGGAGCAGCAGACAGAGGGAGAAGCAGGCTTCCTGCCGCGCGGGGAACCCGATGCGGGGCTCGATCCCAGGACCCTGGGATCATGACCTGAGCCGAAGGCAGCCGCTTAACCAACTGAGCCCCCCAGGCGTCCCCTATCCTAACTTTTAAAGAAAACAGTTATTTAATGACCCCCGTTAAAGCACAATAAGGCAGACTTTCTTCAAGGGGAGGGGCCGTTCAATAGAACTACAGCAATGGGATCTTGTGGGGGACTGGCAGGGGATTAGACTCAGCTCTGAACACAGCAGGGGCAAGTGGGACTTTATAACCAAGGAACGGGGTTGGGGGGCAGCAGGTGGGACTTTACTAAGAGGTAACATCAGGGGTAAGGGGGATCCTGGCTAACCTGACCTGACAAGATTCTTGCTGAAGGCAGGCCAGGGTGATCAGACATCACCCAGAGAGTGGCGGGTGGAGGGTGGGGGGTGGAGGATGAGGAACCTGATCAGACGTGGAGAGCAAGCAGCTATGAAAGGTGGGTTAACTTTCCAATTAAACTGACTTAGGAGGATACTTGCCAAAACTGGGCAAAACAGACATGAACACAGAAGTCCAAAACTCAGGAAAAGTGCACGGGAGCCTAGGTCGAGTCCAGCCAATGAGAGAATCTCCATCAGTATATAAAAATGTGATGGTGACGACGCTTCAGGCACCAAGAGCAGAGAGTGCCCTCTCTCTCCGACACTCCCCAGGCTGGAATTAGAAACAAGAAACCAAACTGTCTGTTTCTATTCCAGGCACCATGCATGGAGTTCAGCCCTGCTACTCTGCTGTTTGTTCCGTTTTCCACCATAATGTGGCATCATCCTCAGGCTGGCGCCAAGATGGCTGCTGCATTCCGGCCATTGCAACCAGACCCAGACCCGGAAAAACAGACCACCTTGTGCTGGGTGAACTTTCCAGGCTTGGACCAATCAGGACCTGTCCTCTGGGGCTGGAGAAAAACCCAGAGGAAGGCTGCCCAACGGATGACAGAAGTCTGGACTTCTGGTATTTATTAGCAGTGACTCTCTCTGGGTAGTTGGAAGGTGGGTGAATTTTACTCTCTTCTTTTTGAGATCATCCTGTCTAAATTTCCTGATGAATGATGATTCCTAATGAATCGAAGTCATTATTTGAGACAGAGACAGACAGAAAGAGAGAGAAGCTTCACCACCTGGAAAATTCAGAATAACTGGGTTTGCTTTATACGCTGCCTAGCACTGCTTACAGAGCCTTTGCTTCAGGGGGTTAGTGGTGATAATGCATCAGAATCCCTCTGACCCCCTAAACCCCACTCCTGCTGCACAACCAAATTCCTACCAGAATGAGGCTGGTTTGGGCAATTTTATTGCAGCCCAAAGTTGGGACTCTCTCCCCTAGGTGGCTCCACTTGAAAACAATGGCTGGGTTTGCAACAATCTCTCTCTCTCAAGCAGATAGAGGAAATTTCCAAACTACAGCCAGAAGGACTGAAGGTAAATCCCTGTGAACACTACAGTAAACATCGTACAAAACCTTACAGACATTAGGGACTTTTCAGGAGGTGGGGGATCAGTAACCCCTCCAGAGAAAATGCACTTCCCTTGAGCAGGGTCCCAGAGGGGCAGGGAGAATTCAGGAGGTAGCTCAGGTCCAAAGACAAAGTCAACACTACCACCAGGAGACAGCTGTTGGGGCATGAGCATCTCCTTACCCCTCCCAGCAGCCCCATGAGGTGGGGATGCTTGTCCCCATTCTCCAGAGGAGAGGTGAAGTCATTTGCTACCAAGATCCCACAGCCAAATGGTAGCACAGGCAGGCTAAGAGTCAGGCTCACCAGCTCACCGCATGGCTGGGCCGGGCTCTGCAATTGTTCAGCCCGCCTGGGCCACGTCACCCCACCCCAAGGCGGATCAAAGTCAAGACTTCTATCTCACTCCAACCTGGGGACCCTGGAAAGTGCCATCACCTCTGGCAATCTGGTGACATACACAGGCAAACTGCTACTGACTTATGGCACCCCAACCTAGCGTTCTTCCCATAGACCCAGAAACCTCCCACAGTGCTGCCCCCTTCAGATCCGTAGACAAGCGCTGTCCAACAGAGATTTCCGTGATGGTGAAGGAAATGTTCTGTAGCTGCACTATCAAATGTGATAGCCACATGGGATAACTGATCACTTGAAAGTGACCAGGTCGAGAAACTAATTTTGAAGGCACTGAATTTTAATTAATTTAAGGGTCTGTTTCATTCACCTTAGGTGACTACTGTCTATAGTATTAGCACAACCCTGGACCCTCCATCACCTAGACCCTGTCCCAACAGAGCTCAAAATTCCAATCAATCCCTCCTTCTTCCCCAGCCTCACCCCCTCCTACTCAGTCCCCCCTCAGCCAGGATTTTTAGCATCCAAGCCTTGCATGTGCTATTTACGATGCTTGGCAAAACTCATCTCCCACCCCCACACCCCACCATCTCTGTCATTGCTACTCCAGGTCTCTGTTCAGATGTCTCCTCCTCCAGGAAGCCTTCCCTGCCCCTCAGGCTGAGTGAGGCACCCCTTTGGGCTCTCCCGGCCCCCTGGGCTCCTCCATCCCACTGCTGATCACTGTGGATCATTGCCCTGGGGATCAGTCTGCTCCCCCCAACACAGACACAGAACTGTGAGACCCGCTGTGGACTGAGGACAAAGCAAGAACTATCTCAATCACCACTGTGTCTGCAGCATCACCCAGCACAGCGCTGAGCATAGGGAGTGTTGTTGGAATGAATGAATGAATGAATGGTGGATGCTTTTGAAAAACTGTGCTAAAAGCTTTAGAGTGAGCCAGCCACAGGTCAAGTCCCATCTCCACCTACTGGTAGACTTGCCTCCTTCCTCGAGCCTCTGTTTCCTCATCTGTGAAATGCACACAGTTATGTGTGGGTGGATGTTGGATGAAGCAGTTGTGTTGGGCCTCCCTGCAGGGACCTGCCTGGCCCAGGGGGATTGCTCAAGCAGAGACTGCCACGACTCCCTCTCATTGTGATTACTGCTATTGTTCCTGACAGTCACACTGGGTGGGAAGAAGAAGTTGAAGGGGATTAGGGAGGAGTCGGGGGAAGCCCCAGAAGGTCCCCAGTCACCCTGGGAAACTGGTTCAACCAGTGTCTGTGCCCATCCCAGAGAGCACAGGTGAAGCCTCTGAAGCCTGTGGAAAGGGGGTGCTGGGGATCAGCCAGCCTCAGCCATGTCTAGAAGGCACCCCCAGGACCCCCACTGAGCTGGCTTACTTCCGACAGCCAGGGCCCGGCCCTCCAGCCCCACTGGTGTCCGCAGTGGCCCCTTGGCATCTCCACGGGACACCAAGATGGAGATTCCCGAGGAGGCCCAGTGCCACTTCTCAAAGGGCCTCCTGCTCTCAGGTAAGGGGGAGCAGCCCAGGGCTGAGGGGGGAAGGTGGGACTCACCCCAGGGGTTGAGGTCTCCTCTCGGAAGAAAGGAGATTGCCAGGGGAGATGAAATTATTAGAGTAAGATGCGGGGGGGGGGGCGGGGACTGGTTTGAGCTGTAGAATCACAGCCCCATAGCCAATTTTACCTATGGAATTTTAGATATACCATATATAATTGGTACTGTAGCATAAATAATATATATATCTGTAAGTATTGGTTAGATGGATGAATGAATAAATTCCGAGAGTCCAACTGTTGAGAGGCAGACCACACATCATCTCAGGGCAGAAAAATCTGCCGGACTAATGGGATGAGAAATCTGTGGCTTTCCTACCTGGGTTCCCACTCCTGAACCCAGGGCATCAATCCCAGCCCTGTTTCCAATGAACAGCGCTCAGAGTCCTTGTCCCCAGATGAGGACATAAAGGGAAGACAATGCTTTGGTCCCTGCCCAACTCTTCTGATCTCAGGCCACCTCTGCAACTCCCCACAGCCTCAATCCTGGCCCTCTGGATCCCCCAAAGCTCCTGGGCTGCCCTCCACATCCAGAAGATTCCAGAGCACCCTCAAAAGGACCAGAACCTTCTCCTGTCCGTCCAGGGCATCCCAGGCAACTTTCAGGACTTCAACTGGTACCTGGGGGAGGAGGCCAATGGTGGCACGATGTTATTCACCTACTTCCCTGACCTCCAGCGGCCCCAGAGGGACGGCAGCGCCATGGGGCAACGTGACATCGTTGGCTTCCCCAATGGGTCCATGCTGCTGTATCGCACCCAGCCCACAGACAGCGGCACCTACCAGGTAGCTGTCACCATCAATCCTGACTGGACCATGAGGGCCAAGACCGAGGTCCAGGTGGACAGTGAGTGTTACACCGCTGAGGGAGAAAGTGGGTAGGCTCATGCACCCCGACACCTGCCATGGGTCAGGACCACTGCCCTATATTAACTCATTTGTATCTTTAAAAAACAAAACAAGCAAACAAACAAAAAAGTATGGGGGGCGCCTGGCTGGCTCAGTCGGAAGAGCATGCAACTCTTGGTCTCGGGGTCGTGAGCTTGAACTCCACATTGGGTACAGAGCTTACTTAAAAATAAATCAATAAACTTTAAAATTAAATTAGGGGTACCTGGGTGGCTCAGTCGGTTAAGCGACTGCCTTTGGCTCAGGTCATGATCTTGGGGTCCTGGGATGGAGTCCTGTGTCAGGCTCCCTGCTCAGCGGGGAGCCTGCTTCTCCCTCTGCCCCTCCCCGCACCCGTGCGTGTGTGCACGTGCACACGCACACTCTCTCTCTCTCTCTCTCTCTCAAATAAATAAAATCTTTAAAATTAAATTTTAAAACCCTATGAAATGTGATATGCCATTTACATCTCAATAGAGCTGGGGGAATAAAATAACTTCTCAACCCTCCCAGGCAGACTTGGTCATTAACCATCCATGTCCCCAGAGGACTCTGATCATCCCATTACCTCTGTGATTTTCATAATGTGCTCTGATGTGTCACATTCCAAACATGTCTCACTGGGAGAGTAATCCTTCAAGGTGAGAGAGTGAAAACATACTTGTCCTTTTATCATCCAGCATCTACCACGGCGGGGAGTGGAGGGACTCCACTCAGTAGGTTCTCAGTTAATGTTTGTTGAATAAAGAAATAAATGAAAACTTTCTCTCTTTTTTTGAAGAGAGAGAGTTGGTGGGGGGGGCAGAGGGAGAGAGAAAATCTCAAGCAGAATGTGGAGCCTGACTTGGGCTCGATCTCATAACCCTAAGATCATGACCTGAGCCGAAATCAAGAGTCAGACGCTTAACTGACCGAGCCACCCAGGCACCCCTGAATGAAAACTCTCAAAACCCAAAACTCCACGAGGCAGGCCCCATTATTGTCTTCATTTTACAGTTGGGGAAACTAAGGCACAGAGCATGGTATGGCTGGGATTTGATCCCACGAAGTCACAATACCAGAGTCTGGGAGCTTAACTACTTCCTCTCAAAGCAGAGAAAGAAGGAAAAAAAGTCTCCTTGCCTTCATTCATATGTGGGATGCCAATAACGAGCATGTAAATAATAAATTAAGATCATATTTCAGAGACATTAACAATAATAGTTATTGCTAACATTATTTGGTGTTTATTACATGCCTACTGTATGTATAACTCATTTACTCCTCACTGCTGCCCTGTGAGGTGGGTAATATTATTGGACTCATTTTACAGATGAGGAAACTGAGGCACAGAGAGGTTATAATTTCCCCAGTTAAAAAAAAATTAAACAGGATGATGTGATATGGGATGGGAGGTCATCAAGAAGGAGTGACATTTGAACAGAGGAAAAGAAGGGAGCCCTGAAGATTTCTAAGAGACAGAGTTCCTAGCAGAGGGAACCGCAAGTGCAAAGGCCCTGAGGTAAGACTAGCTTAGTGTGTTCAAAGCATATAGACAGAAGGATGCCATGGCTATAAAGCAGAGAGCAAGTTGGGTGTTAGGAGTTGAGGTCTGAGAGGCACACAGGGGCCGGGCTTGTTGGCTGTGGGGAGATTGAAAGAAGCCACTAGAGGGTTTTAAACAGAAGAGTGATCTGATTCACAGTTTAACCCAGCCATGGTTAAGCGTGGGCTGAATTTCCATTCTATCCAGAAAGAAGCTGAGGCTCGGGTGGTTTAAGGCATGCCCCGAATATTAGGCATCCTGCCATCCAATCAGCGACAGCATTGGGATTCGAATGCAGGGCTGCCTGAATGAGACACAGAGCTGCCTCCGCAGATGCTGAGCTGCTCATTCACTTGTTCCTTCAGCAAAGCTTCCCCCAGTGCCTCTTTCTCAAGGCCGCCTCTGCGTCCAGACTGTACTGGGCAATGCTGGGGACACAGTGCAGACTGAGGCTGCCCTGGCCCTGCCCTTCCAGGGCTCACAGCCCAGCGGGGGAGACTGATATTAACTAATAATCACACACACAAAATAGATCATTATGCACAGTGCAGGGACCATGAAGGAAAGGCACATACGGGGATGATGAGAGTGTAAATTGGGGGGCATAAGGGAGGTTGCCGTGGGAAGGTGATCCTTCAACAAAGCTTGAATGATGACTAGCAGTCCTAAGGAGAGGGGAAAGGAGCTTTGGGAGGTGTTTGGGCAGAGGGCTTGGTCTGTGCAAAGGGCCTGTGGCAGGAAGCTGTAGGGCTCATGAACTGAGCTAGCAGGAGGCCAGCATGACTGAGGCAAAAGAACAGGAGGGGCATCCTCAGAGGCCAGAGCAGCAGGATGTATTCAAGCCAAGGCTCAGGTTGTAAGGACAGAAGCTCTCTGCAACTGACTCACAATGTAGGGAGCTTTGTAGGACCCCAGGGTAGCCCCTGGGATGTTGGCTCCAGGAGCCCTGGGTTCACAGCTTTCTCCTCCAAGCCTAGAACAGGGACAGACACACTGTTGCATAAATGAATGGGTGGGGAGCCCTTCAGAGCTGATGGGAAATAGTTGTCAGAAGGGCAAGTGCCCCCTCCTCCTCCAGAGGGCGCCACCTATGGCCTCATCTCGGCTCCCGGACTCCATTCTCCTCTTCATGACCAGGGATTCCTGCCAGGCCTGAACTGGGTGTCAGCCCAGGCTTCTTTGCATATTCTGAATCTCCTCTTCCAAAATGCAGAGACAGAAAGAAAGACAGCTGGAGAGACAGACCAAGATAGAATCTAGTTGGTCTGGGGCGCCAAAGTGGCTCAGTCAGTTGAGCATTCGACTCTTGGTTTCAGCTCAGGTCATGATCTCGGGGTTGTGGGATTGAGCCCCCTGCATAGGGCTCCAGGCTCGGCGGGGAGTCTACTTGTCCCTCTCTCTCTGCTCCCTGCCCCCCGCCCCGCGCTCGTGCTCTCTCTCTCAAGTAAATGAATAAATAAAATCTTTAATAATAATAATAATAATAATAATAATAATAATCTGGTTAGTCCAACCTGGCCTGTGGTTTCCTTTGCCTTGAGTGAAGGGTCCACCCCTTGTCCAAGGGGGTGGGATCACGTAGGTCAAACAAGATGGGGAGCCAGATGCCGGGGATCAGGGCGGGGAAGATGAGCAAGGACTCAACACCTGCTCTCCTCATAATAATCATAACATATATATCTATCATGGTTTTGTTCACCACTGAACCCCCAGTGCAGAGCAGTGCTTAGCACACATTAGGTACTCCGTAAACACTTGTAACTCCTTCTCCCATCTGTGAGCACTTACTGTATGCCAGGCACCTCCAAGCCAAGCGCTTTGCTGACCTCACTTCATTGCATTCCCACAAGACCCCCATCAGGCCCTGGGATGATCCCCATTTTAGAGAGGGGCAAACAAACAGAGACCCAGAGGGCCCACCACCACGCAGCTGGGGAAGGCAGGAACCAAGGCCCCTGCTGGGTCTGAGTCCATGTCCCTGGCCCTCTGCCACCTGGCTTTTTCCCAGTCCCAGTGGAATCCACTCCCTCATGGGAAATGCCTTGGCTTCCCGAAGGCTGAACACAGGGAGCAGGAAAGCAAAAATGATTCAGCAAAAGGAAGAGCAAAGGAAAAGGCGGAGGGGATGAGGCATAGGGTTGGGCACGTCCTCATGTCAGGTTGGGTCACCTCAGCAGCCAGGGCATTTCTATTTGAGGACAGCTTTGGCCCCAAATCCACCCCCTGGCAGTGGGGAGGCAAGGAGGGGGGATGGACTTGGCTGGGAGCTCTTCCTGTGTCCCGAGTAATTCCCACGCTTTACCTGTCTCAATCATGAGGGGATTTGGTATGCCTTTAGTGGCTGCAACAGAAGCCAACCCCAGCAGGCATGTACAGAAAAGGGCTTAATGAAGGGTATTGCAGGCTTGCAGGACCCCAAGGAGGCTGGGAACCAGAAACAAGATGTAAACTACTTGCAGAATTCTCCTGCCAAAGCCAGCATTGCCCAAGTGTCAGCCCTGGGTCCAGAACACCTACCTGGGCACTGGGAAGCTGCATTCATTCAACAAACATCTATTGAGCACTCCTGTGTGCCAGGCACTGAGTGTACAGAAGGAACAGACAGAGATCTCTGTCTTCGTGGAGTTTATCTGTTGGTGGGCATGTCCCTGACTGGGGACCTGGGTCACATGACACTGCCCCATGGAAAAAGAAGCTAAGAAAGCCAGTCTCTGGCAGAACTCCCAAAGGGGAGGATTCACAGCTCAGGGCAGAAAACACAAGAAAGGCCCAGGACACATAGGTCCCCTGTGTACCGATGAGGAAACAGAGGCTCAGAGAGGTCCCACAGCCAGTAAGCAGCCCAAACCAGGCTTGGAAGCCAGAGCGGGATCACGGTCATTGACAGCTGGTGTCTGTTCTCCTGTAAATCCAGTGGTGGGGACTTGGGGGCCTTCAAGCAACCCTGTGCGGGCTCCCCAAAGCCTTCTGGGCCCTCTGACATCCAAGGCAGTTAATTACAAGCCCAGCACCCCTTTACTGAACATGTGCAGAGTGCTTCACACACATTTCTCCTTTGTGTCCTCCCTGCCATGGCAAGATGATCGCTGTTACACAGTTGGAGAAACTGAGGCACAAGGAGTTTAAGTAACTGGCCCAGGTCACTCAGCTAAGGGGCAACAGGTGCAGGACTTGAATTCTGGCCTGTGGGCTCCAGAGCCCACACTTTTAGGACTTTATTCTGCCTCATCATTAACAACCACTAACTGGATGGTGTCATGGGTTTATATGACCTTTAGTCAAATGGCCAAACCTTTCAGAGCCTCTGTTCCCCCCAAATATCTGTAAGATGGGGGCAATCATACCTCCCACCATGGATCGTTGCGAGGACTGGCTGGCAAATCCATGTGAAGCTGTGGAAATCAACCACGTCCAGCCAATGAGAAAAGCAAAGGCCATTTACTCAGAGCTTGCTGCAGTAAGGGAGTCAGCCCCGGTCACTTGCATCTGGGCAGAGATTCAAAGGCAGGCAGAAGGATGGGAAAGCTTCATAGTGGAAAAAAGAGAAGCCTTCAGCTGTGCCCTGATTGGAGGTTGTTGGCACAGGGAAGCTGGAGGCGACTGGTTAGGGTGCATATTTGGCTTTCTTAGGAGCTGGTCCTAAGTTAGAAGCAGGGACAAGAATCAGGGAAGCTGTTGGTTATTAATCAAGTCCTGGCCATTTAGGGTCAGTCCTTACAGAAGTTACCATTTGTCTTCCTGGATTGTCACTGGAGATAGCAATCTGGCTTCCTGCAAGTCTGACTCAAAGCAGCTTGGCGTCATGGGCTGTTTGTAAGAGGGTTGGTCTTCTAGGCAGGTTGGTCTTCACTGCAGGTTGTGGACTGGAATTCTATTTTTATATACAGTCTGACCATTGTCCACTTTTATAATGGTCTCTCAAAGCACTTTTTCAGATGTGCTTGTATCTACTCAAAAATACACATGGATAAATCTGACCCACAGAAGAAGACCCAGATGATTCTTTGTTGGTAGAACTGAGGATAGATGATCCCAGTGCCCAGTAAAGAGAAAAGCCAAAAAGAAAACTTTCAGTCCTCAAAGAAGAAACAGAATATGGGGCTCTGTTCTAGTTACTTCTTGGTGCAGAACAAACTCAGTGGTATAGACCAGCAACCATTTTATTATGTTCATGATTTCTGGGATCAGGAATTCAGACAGGGCACAAGAGAGATGGCTTGTCTACTTCATGATGTCTGGGGCTTCAGATGAGAAGACTCAAAAGGCTGAGACTGGCTCAAATGCTGGAGGCTGGAATCATTCAGAGGTGTCTTCACTCAGATATGTGGAGGCTTGCCCTGGCTGTCAGCTGGAAACTTAGCTGGGACTATCCACCAGATCTTTGTCAGGTGCTCTCGCCAATGTGACTGCTTGGGCTTCCTCACAACATGGAGACTGGATTCTTGGGGAGGGCCAAGTGGAGAGCACATGTTCCTAAAGATCAAGGCAGAAACTCCATGGCTTCTTCTGACCTAGCCTTGGAAGTCACACAGCATCACTTACATTGTATTCTTTTGATTACAACTAAGCCACTAAGATTAGCCAAAATTCAAGGGAGGGGTATTAGATCCTTCTACTAGATAAGAGAATGGCAAGATCATATCACAGAAGAGATCCTGTCGCAATCGACTTAGAAAAAGACAGTGATTCACAGGCTCCCTCTTTTCAAGTTCACTGTCTATGATAAAAGGCAGAAAATATAACAGGTTCTAAAAAGAGGACACTTAATCATGTGATTCAGGCAGCGTTCTTGCTACAGCAACAGAAACTGCTTCTCGCTGATTTAAGCAGAAAAGAAATTGATTCAAGGATCCTGAACAGCCCAGAGATTCTCCAGGATAGCAGCGAACCAAGCTTGGGAGGTGTTGTGTGTTCAATGTTGTCCCCTCAAAAAAAGGCACTGAGTCCGAACCCTCAGTACATCAGAATATAACCTTACTTAGAAATAGCATCTTTATAGAGGAAATCAAGTTAAAATGAGATCACTAGGCTCAACTCTCATCCAATATGACTGGTATCCTTATAAAATGGGGAAATTCAGACACAGAATGTTGTATGTAAACTTGCCTGGGGTTCCAACGTTAGCAGCGATGTTCAACACCATGCTCTAAAGGCACCTTTGAACGAGCTAGCTGTCCATGTACGGAGGTTGCAAAGGAGGCTGGGAAATGTGTTTATTTCTGCCCAGCTCAAGTTCAGGGAGACATGATTAATGCCTTCAAGGTAGCAAGATGACTGCATGGTTCCCAAGCCTCTAGCTTCCAGCTCCCAGCTTCCAGAACAAGAGATCCCTTCTCCTACGTGCTTTGAACCACACCCCTTCACTTCACTCTGATTGGACCAACCTGAACGAATCAGGAAGGCCAAAGGAATGCAGCACGCTGATTGGCTTAGGTCTGAAAGGCGGCCCTTCCTGATGCAGTCAGTGTGACAAGGGAATAAGCTAAGGGAGCTCCCCCCGGGGCTGAAGGCGGGATCCATCCCTCCTGAAAGTCTGGAGGCTTCACAATGGTGGAGGGATGGAAGGAGCTGAGGAGACACCTACATGTCTGTAGCTGGGGCACAGGGGTGCAGAAGCACCTGGCTCCTGGGATCCCAAACAGACCAGGTTTGGCCATTTTGCAGACAAAATCCAAAGGCAGAGAGAGGAGGGGTGGTGAAACAAGAAAGGGATTGAAGTGAAGCCAACCCCGGGAAGACAGCAGACTAGCATCCCAAAGACTGCCTCCAAAGTGCTGAAAGTACTTCTAGGTTTATATTAGGAAAATGTGGGACTCAGGTCAGTGGATACATGCAGATGGGCAGTAAAGGTCGTCAGGTCAGTCATTGTCTTGGGGTCAGTCGGGAGGGGTCTTGCTGCTTGAGGGGGTAGTTTCGGCTCCCATCACAGGATGCCTTGCACACAGCATCTTTTCCATGAGTTAAGAGACAAGCTGGAAAGAAGAACTTAATAATTAGCAAGTATAGACTGAGGTCAGAATGGAGGTGATTGAGTGCTCTTTCTTTAAAGATTTATTTCTTTTTAAGATTTATTTATTTAACCCCCAAGCAGGGAGAGGGGCAAAGGGAGAGAGAGAGACTATCAGGCAGACCCCCTGCTGAGCGGGGAGCCTAGCGCAGGGCTCGATCTAATGAGCCTGAGATAGTGACCTGAGTCAAAATCAAGAGTCAATGCTTAACCCACGGAGCCACGCAGGCGCCCCTGAAGTGTTCTTTCATGTCCCGTCTACCAACATGAATCAACTAATTGCATAATTAAGCAAGTAAGCTATGAAGGAAATGCCTATCAGGCACCTCCTTGGCCTGGGATTGTCAGAGAAGGCTTCCCTCCCAGAGGGAGCTGGGAATGAAAAAGTGAGCAGGAGTTATATATAGTGTGTGGAGAAGAGCATGCCAGGCAGAGGGAACAGCATGGGCAAAGGCTGGGCAGCCCAGAGAGTGAGGAAGAGAGCTGTGGATGATGGAACTGTATGGGTGGATGGGGCAGCAGGGGCCAGAGTGAGCAGATCCAGGAGAAGGGGCTCTGGATGCTATAAGAAGACAGGGCAACAGGGTCGGGGTGGGGAGGACAGGAAGTGGGGACGGGGGGATCCTTGAGTCAGCTGACCTGGCCTCGGCCCCACCCCACCTCCTGAGTCACTCACAGAAGCCACTGAATTTCCACTTGCTGTTGTGGGGATTCAAAAAGGTAGAAGATGGGGGCACCTGGCTGGCTCAGTCGGTAAAGCATGTGACTCTTGATCTCCCGGTCTTGGGTTCAAGCCCCATGTTGGGTGCGAAGCCGACTTAAAAATAAATAAATAATTAAAAGATAGAAGGTGCAAAATTGTTAATTTCCAGTGTCTGGAAGAGGAGATGCCTTCCATCCTCTGCCCATATGCAACCCCTCTGGGCCTTGGTGCGCACATCTGCAAAATGGGCCTGACTTAGCCACCTCCCCAGGCTGTGGGGGCAACGACCACATATGCCCAGGCATGGCCTATCCTCTTCCCCCCAGTGAGAAGAATACATTTTAAAATGGGTTTCGGGATGTGCCTGGATGGCTCAGTCGTTAACCGTCTGCCTTCGGCCCAGGTCATGATCCCAGGGTTCTGGGATCGAGCCCCACATCGGGCTCCCTTCTCTGCAGGAAGCCTGCTTCTCCCTCTCCCACTCCCCCTGCTTGTGTTCCCTCTCTCGCTGTCTCTCTGTCAAATAAATAAATAAAATCTTTGAAAATAAATAAATAAAATGGGTTTTGGACACTTTGAACAGATAAACTTTTAGGGAAATGAATGAAATAAGCAAATATTGATTGATTTACACACACACACAAATATATACATGTATACATACATATATATGGTGACACTCCAGTCCATTTGGAAATAATGGTCTTCACTCCAGTCATGCAGAACCTGATACAGTTCCTTCCCATCCTTGAAGGGCTCCTGGGACACAGGCCCCTCTTTTGGAAGTCACACAGAGCAATCATTAGGAGCTCAGGTGGCCCAAGTGTAATCCCAGCACTGCACCTTCTGTGAGCCCTTGGGCAGGTTAGCTCACCTCTCTGTGCCTCAGTTTACTCACTTTAAAATGGCACAGATCCTACTTTGTTGGATAATTGAAAGAACTGTGTGTGCGTGTGTGCGTGTGTGTGTGTGTGTGTGTGTGTGTATAAACTCATTCAATCTTCACAACAACCCTACAAGGTAGATACTCTTATTGTCCCATTTCACAAATGGGAAGAGGCACAGAGAGGTTGAGTAATCTGCTCAAAGACTTGAACCCCCAGCATTCTGACCTCAGAGTCTATGAGCTTACCTGCCAAGAAAGGCTGGGATATAACAGGTGTTCAGCTTGATATTAAAGGCTGGAGGTCCTCATGGTGGGGGTAGGAAGTCAGGTAGGCTTCATCCCAAACCTGACAGGTAGTGTTTCAGTGCATCAAGACCCTATGTCCCGCACAAAACAGGGCCCAGAACTGCATTCTTTCCCTAAAAGGATGGAGGTGTCAATCAACTGAGGCGAGAAAAAGCAGGCAGGTGGAGTGTGGTGGGGGAGTGGGTCAGGAGGTAGGTTTTAGATGTGCTGAAGATGGTAGGAAATCTTAGGAAAGCAGATTTTGAGGTAGGGTGAGCCGAGGAGTTCCATCCAGGGATGTTGAGTTTTATGTGCAGCAGAATCAACTGGACAGTTGGATGCTCAGCTCTGAAAAGCAGGAGAAAGCTCTGGGTGGGGGAAAGGAAACTGCACATCAGTGCTCTATGGACAGTCACTGATGCAGGGGTGAGGGGAGTGGGGAGATCCTTCCAGGACATCTCACAGACCTCTCTTTCTCTCTCATACCCCTCAGAAAAGCTTAAGGAGCTGCCCATTACACACCTGCCCCTGAGTGCTGGGATCATGGCCGCCATCATAATTGGGTTCCTTGCTGCTGGGTCCCTCTTCATCGGGTGCATTGCCCATCTCCTGTTAACAAGAGCCTGGAGGGGCCAGAGCCACAGGTACAGGGGCCCCAGGCCTCTCTCTCCTTCCCTCTTTCTTCTTCCCCAGCCCTTAGGTCCCACTGATTGATTCTTCCATGATTCCTGTCATCTGACTCATACACAATCTCATCAAATCTTGGAACTCTTGAGGTGAAAACGACCTTTCTATCCTGTGTTAGACAGAATTCTGCACTGCAAGGGACAGAAACCCTATCTTTGAACGGGCTTACAAAAAATTAGAAAATTTTTTGGTCCTGCATGAGCTTCAGGTATGGCTGGATCCAGGGACTTGATTTTGTCAAGAGACTCCTCCATACACCTCTCAACTCTGCTTTTCTCTGTGGTGGCTTCATTCTCAGTCAGGACCTCCCCTTGTGGTGTGATAAGATAGCTCCTAGGGGCTCCAGGCTTATATCCCACCAGCTCAGCAGCCACAGAGGGAAGACCACACCTGGCTCCTGACACCTCCAACAAAAACCCCAGGGCTGCTTCTCACTGGCTTAATTCAAATCACATGTCCTTACATGGACCAACCGCTATGGCCAGGTGCTGGAATATTCTGATTGGCCAAACCTGGGCTATTTGCACAGCTCTGGAGTTAGAGAACAACCCAGCTCCACATGACTAAATGGATTCAGGGTGGGGAGGGTTCCCCGCCCACCCCACCCCTGGACCCAAAGGCGGCGCGGCGGGGAACAGATGCTATTGCCAAAGAAGCGGAGTGGATGGTGGGCAGGCAAAGGCATCAGATGGTGCCTACTTCTGTATGGGGGGGGGAGAGGCAGGGGCCTATTTTTCCAGGAAACAGTCTATTCGTGGAAAATTCCTTCCTCATGAGATCAGCCTCTTCAGAACTTTGTCTCCTGACTTTCGTTCTGAGCTGCTTGCAAATGTGTACTTTTTCTGCTCTCCCTAATCCCTGGGAAATGAAGGCAGCAACCTTTTCTCCTCCGCCTCCTCCTTCATTTTTGCAACTTTTCTATAAGTTTGAAATATTTCCAAAGAGAAATTCCTCTTCCTATTCTCTCCCTTAGGTGCTGTGGTCTCTTGATCTCTTTCTCCCAACACGCTCCCATTTAGGGGTAGAGAACAGCTTTCACTTCCTACTGTGTGCCCTAGAGAGCTTGGTGGAAAGGGAGTTGGAGGTGGTGTCTGAGTGCAGTGGGAACGGATGCTGTGATTGATTAATCATGTCTGCCACAGGAGTTGGAGGTGGTGTCTGAGTGCAGTGGGAACGGATGCTGTGATTTATTGATCATGTCTGCCAAGGAGTTGGAGGTGGTGTCTAAGTGCAGTGGGTACAGATGCTGTGATTGATTAATCATGTCTGCCACAGCTGTAACAAGGGTATCGGGAGCACCTAAGCCATCCCTGTTAGCCCTCCTTCTTAGCTTGCAGGTGGTATGAAAAGAGGCAATGCTGGTCCATAACCCTCCTGGGGGCTTCCCAGGTGTAGTCTGAAACCAGCCCCCAAACACAGAGGGGAGGGAGAGACCAAGGAAAGAGGCAGGCCCCTCCAGGTTGGCATGTGGCAGTTTCAATAAGCAAAGGGAACTTATACACGAGGCTTGTCTCCGGGGGCAGCAAAATGAATGGATCCCCACACCGACCCTCCAAATCTTACAAGTTTATAAAGAAGCCCCAACTGGGCTCAGCCAGGCACACCAGGCAGATGTCCTCAGCATCATACACCATCTCAAGGCCACGTCCTTGGAACAGCCTCTGGGAGCGGAAAAGGCAGGTAGAACCCACACTCCAGGGACAGGGGAGGGGGTGAGAAGCTTCCGAGTGCCCGTGTCCGGCTCACGGGTCAATCAGGGGTCACATCTTTTTCATGCCCGTCCCCAAAAACGATGGGGCAGATTTGGCCCTCGGTGGGTAGTTTGCCGTGGTCTCGGGAGACAACTAAGGCTTAGAGACATGAAATCATTTGCCAAATGGCTTAGAACTGGCCTGTGAGTGGCAGCAGGTCCCCGAGCTGGGAACCCACACCTGAGTGACTTGTAAGCTCCAGAACCAAAACTGGAATCCACTCGTCCAGACCCGCTGGCCGGCTTTCCTTCTGCTACTGCCAGTGATTCTCAGAGAATCTCACAGATCCTCAAAGTGCTGTCAGGGCCAGAGGCAACTTGATGTGGCATTCTGGGCCGTAGTATTAAAAAAATAAAATAAAAAAATAACAATAAACAAAAAAACGCAAAATGAAAATATTTCAATACATGGAAATGTTTACAAATGAAGGGCCGTGATGCATGCACCTTACCCTCAGATGGTTCAGGAAAACAAAATATGCATGGGAGAAACAAAAGGAGAAAGAGCAGACACTGAAGCAAATGGAATAAAAACAATTGTTTGATGTGAGTAAAAATTACACAGATGTTCTTTGTGCCATTTTTGCAACTTTTCTGTACGTCTGAAATATTTCTAAAGAGAAATTCCTTTTCCTGTTCTCTTTGTAGCATTCTGACTACGGCAAGAGAATATCTCACTCTGGTTCTAGTCAGACTCTAACGCCCTTCTAACACTCGCTACCTTTTCCCAAGAGAAAACTAACAACCCTATCGAGCCACAGATTTAACCCATTGTTTGGCCTTCCTTCATTTTCCCCGTCACTTTCTACTTATGTCCGGTTTCATTACAATATGGCAGCATCCGACTGTGTCCCGCTTCCGCTCCCACCCCCACAGTCTGTTCCCCATTCAGCAGCCAGAAAGATCCTGTGAAAATCAGTCAGCTTAGGTCCCTCAGAGTCGAGGCCAAAGTCCTCACCATGGACACAAGACCTAGCTGGACCTGCTGCCTCCCTCTGACCTCACCTCCAGCCCCTCTCCCCCTTACACTCTCTGCCCCAGCCATACTCCTCTCTTTGCTGTTCCTGTTCCTGCCCCAGGGCCTTTGCACATGCTGTTAGAGGTCTCTTCCCATGATTTCTGCAAAGTTGGTCTCCTTGCCTGCATCAGGCCTTTGCTCAAATGTCGCCTTCTCTGTGAGGCACCCCCACACCATCCTACTTGAAATTGCACACACACCCCCCCTCCACCCTCTGCCCCTTTTCATCTTCATATTCCTATAGCACTTTCACTCCCTGACATTCTACTGTCAGTCATTTATTGGACTTCTCTCTCTCTCTCTCTCTCTCTCTCTCTCTCTCTCCCCCCCCCTTGAGTGCCCACTCCAGGAGGCCAGGGGTCTTTGTCTGTCTTGTTCCCAGCTGTGTCCCCAGTGGCTTCAACAGGACCCAGCCCATGGTCCATGTTCCGTAAATATGTGTTTAGTGAAATAATGAATTTGCTGCAGTGATGTCCAGTGTACTTTCTAAATAAAGGTATTCAAATGAGCTGATTCAAAGAGAAATATTAAGGAAATTGTGAAACAGGTGGATGGAGCAGAATCATCTAGATGGTCTGCCTAAATAGTGACATTGGGGAAACATTACTCACTGGCATACGGTGGCGGCTGGGGAAACTGAGGAAGGGCTCTGTGGCTGGAGATTATGGGAGAAGAGGCGGGGATGGGGCAGGTCTTGTCCTAGCTCACTCTGAATCAGGGATCATCTCTCTCTCTGATGGACTGATGGGCTTTCCAGTTTCTCTGAGTCTCTCTCCACCCGCCTGAGTGGCTTACTACCCTAATATTGGTTCTCTCCATATGTCCCCAGGATGACACCCACAGAGAAGCCAGAGGTGCGCCCCAATCACAACGCCGGTAAGGCAGAGGTCCCTGTGGCTAAAGGCCCTCCTCCAGGCTCCTTCCTCTTTTCCCCACCAGCCACACACACCCTCGCCCTCCCCCACTAGCGGTCTCCCAATCACTTGCCCCACCCAGACCTCTCTGGGGCCCCCCAGACTCAGCCCACAGGCTCTGAGGACATCAGCACTCACGCCAAACCTGCTTTTCCTCCTCTTCTCAGTGCCTGGCACATCCAGTCCTGGTGGTTCCACTCCCGGGTCCCCACACCCAACTCCTTGCTGGGCTCCCCACCTCCAGGCTGGCCTCCACCCCATCCGCAGGCAGAGTGCTTCTAGAACTCTCACCCTGTCACTCCTCTGCTCAGAGGCCCTCCATAGCTCCCCAGGGTCCTTAGGACAAAGTCAGCCTCCTTAACATGGCTCTCTAGATTCCCATAAACTGGTCCCCACTGTCTTTCCTGGCTTCATTTCCCACATGTAACAATCCCATCCTCAAAAACAAAACAATATAAAATAAACTACATATAATCCAGACAGACCAAATATATCACAGCTCCTCAAACATGGCAGGCTATCTCCTGCCAGCCACTCCCTCCTGCATTTGCATAGTTCTCACTTCTCTTTCCAGTCTCAGATGTCCCCTCCTCCAGGAAGCCCTCCCTAAATCCCCTCCAGGAGCCCTCTGGGCTCCCCCACTCAGCCCTACCCACTCTGGGTCATCCCTATCTGGGGACAGATCTGTCTCCCCCACTGGACTGTGAGCCCTGGGAGGCCGGGGCCAGCGCTGCCTCAGTCTTGGCTGTGTCCCCAACATAGGGCTGGGCAAGGGGAGGGACTTGCACAAATGTTAGCTGAATAAATGACCACTGACAGCAGGTAGCATGGGCCTGCGGGCCACGCGTCAGCCAGTTCCCCCCCTTGCCCTCTGCTTCAGGTGACCAGAACATCTATGAAGTGATGCCGTCTCCGACCCTCCTGGTATCTCCCCCCGGTGACACGAGGTCCGTGAACACCTCCATGGTGAGTCCCACCCCCTCCCCCAAAGCCCCCCACCTGCCGCTTCCCCAGGAGTTTGCTGTGGCGCCGGCACCTTGTCCCCACACTGCACGAACACGACTCACCCTGGGATGCTCCCTACTTTAGAACCACCAGGAAAAGAGACTGGAAGGACACAACATAAGGAGCATTAGTCTCTGGGGCGATGGGGACTTGGGACTGGGAAGCCAGGTCTGTCCTCAGAGCAAAGGTCCAAGGTAGGAGGGTGTCAGGGTGCCGGGGGCCTGGCTCACCTGTGCTCTTCCCTCACAGCCCCTGCCCCAGCAGCAGCCAGAGCCGGAGAACCACCCCTACCAGGTGCGTGGAGCCGGGATGAGGGAGGGGGCCTCGACGGTGGGGGCGGGGGGCGGGCATTCTCACCAACCATCCACCCATTCCCTGAGCTGTAGCTCCCCCGGAAGCACAGCACAGTCTCTCCCCTCCCGGGATTGTACCTTCCTCCTTCTTAGAAGGATTCCGAGGCTGCAGGTCCCAGCCCATCTCATCCCCTCCTGTCTGCCCCTGGATCTCTGTGTCCATGTGTCTGTCTATGTTTCTCTGCACTTCTCTACGCCTCTCAGGGCATCTCCTGCTCTTGCTGTCATTCTCTGGCTCCCCATGTCCTTTTATCTTTCCCTCTCTCTCTATCTCTTCACCCATCTTTATTTCTTGATGTCTCTCTCTCTCTCCTTCTCTGTGCTCCTGTCCCTCCTGGCTCTCCATCCCCATCGCTCTGTGTCCACCCCTTTCTCTGGCCCTCCCGATACCTGGTGCTTCCTGCCGCTGCACGCCTCTCTCCGTCCACCATTCTCTCCGGGTGTGTTCTCCACCCCACCCCTCAGCCTCTGCCTGGCTCCCCCGACCCCCACCCACAATCCCTCTCTTCCCCTCCCCCCCCAGGACTTGCTGAACCCTGACCCTGCCCCTTACTGCCAACTCATGCCAACCCCCTGAAGAGGCCCCTGGAAGAGCGAAAGCCTCAGCCCTCCCCTGGGGGCCTGGTGCCCACAGAGAAGCCACACTGGAGACCCCACAGCACCAGGCCACCACGGCCAGAGGCCGACAAGGTGGACTCAAATGAAGACTCAGCACAGGATCAGGCACGGGCAAGAGATCATGAGGGGCCCAGCGCCTCTCTGACCCTCTGAGTATATAACCCGCCCTCAACTCTGGTCTATCCAGCAAGCTGGCCTGGGCCTCGTGCCTGGGAAAGGCAGGCTCTTGCCTTCTCCTAACCCAAAGTACCCCCTCACACACACTGGATATTTGGGGGTGAGGAGAGTGGTCTCAGGCCTGCCTCAAGCCAGACCTCACAGGCTCCTACTCGCTGGGCTTCTACCTGTCGGCCCACAATGCCCCACCCCTGCTCCCTGCTTGTCCTTGGAGCCCCTTCCCCTGGGAGTGCAGAGGGACTGTGATTTTAAATAGGAAGGGCAGAGAAGGCCTTGCAGAGAAGGTGATGATGAACAAAGACCTAAAGGAGGAGAGAGAGAGGAAGCCACGCAGGGATCTGGAGGGAGAGCATTCCAGGCAGAGGAAGCAGCAAGTGCAAAGGCCCTGAGGTAGGAGTATGCCTGGGGAGTTCAAGGAGCAGCAAGAGGCCAGGGTGGTGGGAGTGGAGGAAGGAAGGGGGAAAGGGTGGGAGGTGAGGTCAGGGAGATGGGGAGCAGCAGATAGTTCAGGGCACAGAGTCGCCCCACGTAAGGCACAGCAGACTGTCGCTTTTGCTCTGGGAGCTGAAACCAAAGACAGTGTGGCCGGGGGCGCCTGGGTGGCTCAGTCGGTTAAGCGTCTGCCTTCGGCTCAGATCATGATCGAGCCCCACATCGGGCTCCCGGCTCAGCGGGGAGTTTGCTTCTCCCTCTGCCT